CGGTCCCCGCGGGCGTTGGCCGGGAGCTCCGGCCGCTCTGGGAAGTGAGAGGTCTGTTCCACGGAGACTTCTCGTCGGTGGCCTCCGGGACGTGCACGGCTTCGGAGGCAGCGGGACAGCCCCGTGCCCGAAGAGACCTGGAGCCAGCGGGAGCAGCGCTGCGTGAGACCGACACAGACCCCCCCGTCCTGCTCGGCTCCTGCTCTCTTGCTGGCCTGGCACGCGATTTCGGACATGTATTTCTCTTCCACTTCTGCCCCTTGGAAAGTGGCGCTCGCAGATGGTCCGTTTTGTTTTCAGATCCTTGCGTTCCAAGCAAGATCTTTCTTGTTACTAATTTATCTCTGAAAAATATTTTATGATGCATAGTTCATGGCAGATACCGAACAACACGCATAATTAGGAAAAGTCTAAATATCTGAAGAAATTAAGAATGCACGTCAGTCTATATATAGAGACTTGATATTTAAATTCACCATAAACTTTCTTCTGAGTCACTCATGCTGTGGTGTATCTTGACAACTGCTGAGCTGCATTACATTCACTCAGGAGCTGCTGCTAATTTTGCTGCACATTGACGCTTCATTAGTTCCCCCTTTTCCTGAGAAGCGATGATATTTTATTAGCTAGTGCCAATTGTTGAATTAATTCATCTTACTTAGTGACCCTCCTTGTTACTGTGAGGAGGATATTGTCTGGACATCTGACGAGACTAAAACCAGTGATCCTTGGCTCGTTCTTCCCATATTGACTTCTTATTAAAGCCTTTCAATATTTGGGTGCTGCTTTCCTTAGCTGAGGGAAGACACCTCAAAGGGATGTATCCAGAAGATGCCGTGTCGTTTCTTCTGATTGCTTAAATAAATGGAATTGCTTAAATAAAGTAAAATAGAAAATATGTATCTAATCTGTAACCAGAAAAGTGGACACTGATATGGAGAAGTTTAGGGCAAAGTCCCTGTTAACTGCAGAAAATCAAATGAATTAATTAAAGCATCAAGAACTAAGTCAAATGTTTTTTCTTCAGGCTAAAAGTTGAGGAAGCCAGAGAAGTTCAGAGCCTCAGAAGGCGACCCAATGGGGTGAGGTAAGGGATGTAGCACCAAGGATGTGAGTTTGTGTTTTGTCCGACGGTGTAATGTAACAGGTACATTTCTCTCTTGTCATGTTTCTCCTTTCAGTAGAAACCACTCCATGTCGGGTAGTGCTAAAACCATGTTCTTGCTAGAGCAGTTTCTACATTACAGCCTGAGGATCGAAAAGAGGGAGTTTGGTACAGGCGCACAGTGCCAGTTTACAGTGAGCAAAGTCTGTTCTGTCCCAGCCATGAAGAAAAAGATTAAGATTGGGATTTAACATTATATGTATTTTCACCAAATTACTTCTGTACTGCACACATGGTTTAAACTGGACACATTGGCATCTCCTCCATCCTAATTTCCCTCTCTGCTCTCATCTGGTGCCGTTGAGTAGCTGATGAGCTAGTTCAAATGTGCACCAGCAATGAACTTTGTTCCTTATTTTTTGTGATCACTGTAAGGCGCTAACATCTGCGTTAACTTCTCTCCACAAAACAGTAACAGTTCCTCTATCCATGTGGAAGGATTAGGAAGATTGACAATTTAGTCTTGATACAGTGTGTGGGACCATCTGCCAAATTTAGAGAAGGAAAAAGAAATGCAGTATTGTTGGTAATGTGTTTCCTTCCACCAAATCTTATTTACTTTCTTTATCTGCTTTACCAGTGCTGTAGCTCTGCTTGTGGGAGAGAAGTTGCAAGAAGAAGCAACACTTGTGGTAAGTGCTAGACGCTTTCATCGCCGTGGTGCTAAGATGTAATGATGTGAAAACATTACATTATTTATTAATCGTTACATTATTTATTGATCATTATTATTGATCATTACATTATTTATTGTTTTACAGGATGACCCATTCCAGATAAAATCTGGGGGAATGGTGGACATGAAGAAGCTGAAAGAAAGAGGCAAGGACAGGTGGGTGCATCTGCGCTCTGAAGATCTCTCCCCAGACTAGTATGAAATGACAGTTAGTAATGAAGTAACGAGATGTTGTGGTGCTTTGAAGAGTTTAACATAATGCAGTTTGGCTAGTTACTGTTCCCCTAACTTGTCAAATTAGTTTAAAAAAAAAAAAACAAAACCAAAACAAACCCAAAACTAAACATTGTGGTTTCCATTTAGGATTAATGAAGAGGAAGACCTAAACTTGGGAACTTCCTTCTCAGCTGAAACCAACAGGCGGGATGAAGATGCTGACATGTAAGTTGTGCAGCCTTGCGTCTGTGAATTTTTTTTTTTTTTCCTGTCTTGGATACCGTGTACTCCCAGAACATCTTCCCAATTCTCACTGAAACTTTCACTTGCCCTTCCATCTTCTGGCTGCCAGAAGGTTTTTTGATGAGCAAAGATGGGAGATGCCAACCAGCTAGCCTGGCATTAAATACCAGTGGGAGCCTTCCCCGCTGGTTGCGAGAGCTTGGAGGATCTGATCATTTCTTGGACAAGTGCTTCTTGCAGTTGATCTTAGCTGAGTTGTTTTGGAGCGATTATTCTTTCCTCTCTCCTAGCTATTGGGACAGTGATGGAGCTGTGCCCAGCAGTGCTGCGACAGAGTACAGAAAACAGAATTAAATGCTGTGTGTGTCTCGTGTGCTGCTGTTTAGGATGAAGTACATTGAGACTGAGCTGAAGAAGAGAAAGGGAATTGTGGAGAATGAGGAGCAGAAAGTGAAGCTTAAGAATGCCGAGGACTCTCTGTATGAGCTGCCAGAGAACATCCGTGTCTCCTCTGCCAAGAAGACTGAGAAGATACTGTCCAACCAGATGCTGAGCGGCATGCCTGAAGTGGACCTCGGAATTGAGTACGTGGTTCATAGATCTGCTGGCTGTGGCCTGAATTGCCAGGATGAGCAACTGCTGATGGGCGGAGCAGTGGTATGGCTGGATTACACAGCCCCAGCTTGGCTCTGTGATGGGATTGAACCTTGTTCTGGATTAGCCCAGTATCTAGTGCAGCACCATTGTATGACTTCAGGGAAAGGCTCTTAATTTTTGTCACTTGAATCTAGCAGCTTTCTGGAGGATCAGTTTATACCCTGCACTGAAAGAGAATGCACTAAAGGTGTGAGCTTCCCTTTTACAGAAACAAAGCGTCTGTTTCTATAGCACTGCCTCCTCTTTCAAAAAACACATCAAATACCATAGCAGTGCTATGACTGTCCCCAAAATCCATCCACTTAGCACATCTATGCTTAATACCCTTTTAAGTATGAGTGAGGGGTTTTTTTCTTTGTTTTTTTTTCTAGCGCAAAAATAAAAAACATTATCTCAACTGAAGAGGCCAAGGCCAAGCTGCTGGCAGAGCAGCAGAACAAAAAGAAAGACAGCGAAACGTCCTTTGTTCCCACCAACATGGCTGTTAACTATGTCCAGCACAACCGATGTAAGTCTCACGTAACTCTCCTGACCGAGGAGTGACCCTCTCCTCTGCTGAAGAAAAGTAGTCAGTTGGGACAGAGTCTTATGTAGGAGAAATTAGTTCATGTATCAGAACAAGCAGCTGTCTGATTCCTTTTTCTGGGATGCTCATACAGACCCCATCTGGCTTGGTCTGGTTTTTTTCCATCCGTCAGCAAGGGAGGGACATATTACTCATGGCTTGACTTTCTGCTCTTGAACTCCCAGCTGGCACTGCCTCATAAATTTCATGATTTTTTTCTTTAAGTTGTGCGTGTGCTGGAAATGTCTGCCTTGTCTGCAATTCTAAATGATGGTTTCTAATTGAGAGAATCCATTTTGTGGGCTGCCAAAGCAGGCAGGTGGTCAAGCAAACATAGACCTTACTAGACAGGAGATGGGAATTAATTTCCGGGAGACCCTCTCATACCACAGCCATCTGGAGGAAAGGCAGCCTTCTGCTGTGTCTAACCACACTTACAGGGGTGATCTGGAGTCAGATTTGTGTGTTCTGAAGGAAATGAAGAGACTTTGGGCCACTTCTGATGAAATAGTGCTATGATTTGTGTGTTCTGAAGGAAATGAAGAGACTGGGCCACTTCTGATGAAATAGTGCTACTGAAATTGCTGTATCCCATCTTGCATGTATTGATTATCCACAGAACCCAATGACAGGAATGCTTGTTCTGAGGTTCTGTTGTTTCTGCTGAAGATCAGTTGTAACAAATGCCATAGAAATATGTGTCAGAATAACACTGCTCCACGTGATATTCCTTAATCTGATGTTTTCCTCCTTCAGTTTATCATGAGGAGCTAAATGCACCAGTGCGAAGGAACAAAGAAGAGCCAAAGCCCCGTCCACTGAGAGTGGGGGATACGGAGAGGCCAGAACCTGAGCGTAAGTTCCTCATCTGGAATGTCCTAAGGAGAGACACGGAAACCATCTTGCACAGAGAAATGATCTAGCTCTTCTTACATGGGGAAACGGAGCAATCTATGTCCATGAGGGGCTATTGCACTTGATGTACCCCTGCTAGGTCACACGTGAAGCCCTCTGGGTGGAGGAAGTGTTTAGAGATGCCCAAGGGTGCAGTAGCAAAGGTCACAATTGTGATGTGTTGCCAAAGCTGGCTGACAAGTGTTTGATAAAAGCTGGAATAGTGAAAGGTGCAAGGTTGGGGAGCATTGACAGCTAAAGCAATAACCTTTCACATAGCAGGGGGCTGTATAAGGAAAGTGGTGGAGATAAGGAAATGTCTCCTGTGAAAGGACAGGAAAAAATATTTCCCTCTCTTTCTTTTGAAGGATCTCCTCCAAATCGCAAACGTCCACTCAATGAAAAAGCAACAGATGATTATCACTATGAGAAATTCAAGAAGATGAATAGGCGATACTGATGAAGGTGTACTGAAGTCTTTGCAGTTGTTCTTGTTTTCGACTAATAAAGTACTTTGTGTCAGTGACCTGAAACAGTGAATGGGGAGAGTCACTACCTTCACGTGCTGGTGTTACCTACAGAGCTTTTCTTGTGATCTTGTGAATCAGTTTGCAGGTCATTGTGAACTCTTTGGTCAGTAAAATCTTGTATATAACTTATTTTCAGTTATAAAACTTCTTTTATAAGAACATGGGCTTTCATGGTTGGCATTTTTCAGTGAGAAAACAACTTGGCTTTTACAGACTTTTTTGCCCTCTTAAAAATATGAAAAAAAGGTAATTTAAAAGCAGCAGTGCTGTTTGCCTTGTAAATATAAAGGGAAGGTTTAAAGCTAGTTGAATGTAACTTTGTAAGAAACTTGTTTGTTCCCAAGGGCCTTTGCTATGCAGAGTGTGTAAGGCTGAGATCCTGCAGCAGCATGTGGAGTGCCGCTGCTCCTCAGCCTGGCTCGGAAGTGCTCTGGGAGGAACCGTGGTGTTAGCGTTGCCTTTCTCCAGGAGGAACCATGGTGTTGGCTCTGCCTTGCTCCAGGAGGAACCATGCTGTTGGCGTTGCCTTGCTGGATCTGTCCTAAGCACAGGAAACAACGGCAGATACACAGCGCTGGGGATTTTATATGATAAACTGTGATGTTTTGTATCTCTCCCCCCCCCCCCCGCCAATGTGTGTCTCCCCCCCCCCCCCCCCCCGTAGAGTTATTTCTGTAGCAGTTCACTGCGTTTTATTTTAGCTGCAAAGAAGAAGAAAATTGGATCAAGTTGTAATTGTTGAATCAGAGGGAAATCTGACTTTCAGCTCTTGGGACAGGGTGCATGTGGCAGCTGATGAAGCCAGAGGCCCTGCAGCCAGTGTCAGCTACGTCTTCACAGGAGGTGTGACATGAGCGTACTTGAAGCCAAGAGTTGGAACTTGAACATAATAAAGGTGTTTTTAAGTGATCGGAAATTATGTTTTTCCTTCTGGGATACACGCAGATGGTTTCTGGGTGCTGGTAATGACGGCCTGTGACTCTGCAGGTGTCTGTGTCCTGTCACTTGGGTGGAAACTACAGAGAGGGGTGGGGGACTGGCCGAGGTTTTACTTTTTCCTCAGAAAAGGGGAAAAGTCTGGGCCAGGTAAACGTGCGAGCTTGCCCCTGAGCCTGTGCCCCCGTGCAGGCGTGAAGTGGATCCTCCGAGTACCCGCAGACCCGGCACTGCTAATGTAACGTTGGAGCGCGGTGTTTAATGAAGTG